AATACAGAAATTATTATTTTGTAAAACCCTCATGGCTATTAAACTAATCTCATGATTTTTGAACACTTGTGGTTGGCAATACTATCATTTCCTAAAAATCACTGCTATAAAGTGCAGAGTTTTTCCTTTCTCAAAATAAAACTGTCTGTTCCCATTGAAGAACAAACATAGTAGTAGTTGAGTAAATGGTTACTAGACAGCAGTATGCATCCTACCAGGTAACAACAGGGTACCTCATGGTCTAGTGATTAGTATTCTAGTCCCCCTCACCAACCTATTTAGGTCCTTCATCAGGATCCCATTTGAATCATAGACTATCAGGGTTGGAAGGGACCTCAGTAGGTCATTAGTCCAACCCCCTGCTCAAAGCAGGACCAATCCCCAGACAGATTTTTGCCCCAGATCCCTAAATGGCTCCCTTAAGGATTGAACTCTCAACCCTGGGCTTAGCAGGCCAATCCTCAAACCACTGAGCTATCCCTCCTCCCCCACATTGAAGTTAATGGGAATTTTGATGAAATCCTGGTTTCACCTGCAAATTTCAGATTCTAATCTGAATTCAACCCAGATTCAAATTTAAAGTACCGATCGCCTGAAATAGCTGAGTTTCACTTCATTCCATGCAAACAAAGTGATCCATTAATTGTAGAAAATAAACAGATGCAGATGGCTGCTCTTTCTCTCCCTTTTCCCCCACCCCTCTCCCAGTGACATACATCAGGCAAGAATTTGGATCTAGATACAACTTAATTTTAATACATCTTGACAAAGCTTAAAGTCTGATGTTGCATCATTTGCTACTGTAAATCTTGCATTGTATATTCCCTCACCTTTGTATATAATATGCTGTACACATTATTTAATGGAAAACAGGATTGTAATAAGCAATCGCAATAAACGAGAGCAGTGTTTTCTGAAGCAAGGGGTATGTCTGCCTGAGGGGGAGCATCACAAAATAAACAAATAGAAAATCCTAGCTGGGGTGAGATGGTGAAAGTGGGAGCACTCACACCTCTCAGTAGTTTTCTAGTCTCAGATTTGGTTTTTAAAAATGTAACTCCCTACCTCCTATGATTGCAAAAGTAAACCTTGAAAATGTGAATCACGTGCAACTGACACATGAATGTCTGCCTGAGTTTGCAGAGAGCCTGAAACAATCATTCTGAAGTGTGAGTAGCCCCAACTCCTCAATGAGTTCTAACCCAGATGTCAATGATAATACAATGCAAACCATGTTAACTATTTCACTGTTAATCAAACCATGCAGAAAGGGAGATGAAGTATCGTTCTGAAAGTTTATGTAATCTATTCTAAGTGATTGTTCATACTGGGTAGGCCTCAAACACCACATGGGCAGGACTGAAGTTGTAGCAGTTGGTTTTAGGGTGACCAGATGTCCTGATTTTATAGGACAGTCCCAATATTGGGGCTTTTTTTTAAAATATGGGCTTCTATTACCCCCCAGCCCCCTTCCCGATTTTTCACACTTGCTATCTGGTCACCCCTAGCTGGTTTCATTTTTCTGAAGGGCAGGTTCATCTTTCAAAAAAGTTTGAGAACCACTGAACTAGTGTAAGACAGCATCACAATCTGCATTTTGGTCCTCCTTTTTGTCAACCTTCATATGTATGAATAAATGTTATTTTTGGTTTGGGGTAGAGGGGTAAAAATCAACAGACATTGTGGACTCATAAGAAGATGTACATACAAAATAGAAAATCTATAATCTTAGGTCTTATCTTCACTACTGTGCTAAATCAGTGCCACTCTATTGATGTAGTGGCCTCAATGTAGCGCATCTGGTGAAGGCGCATTATGTCGATGGGAGAGTGCTCTCCTGCCAACAAAGCGGTGTCTACACTGCGCTAAGTTGATGCAAGTTACGTCGCTCAGGGCCAGTGTTCCCTCTAATTCTTCCCATCCATGTGTGGAATGAATTTTGTTATGTGCACCAACATGTAGGTGATGTGTGACACATCATCTCCATAATGGTGCACATAAAATTTATGTGGCGGGGGTGGGGCCAAGAGATTCAGAGTATGGGAGGGGGCTCAGGGCTGGGGCAGAGGGTTAGGGTACGGGGAAGGGAGGGCTCCGGGGTAGGGCTAGGGATGAGGGGCTCAGGGCTGGGGCAAAGGGTTGGGGTGTACAGGCTCTGGGGTGGGGCTGAGGGGTTTGGGGTAGAGAGAGAGAGAACGAACGAACTAACTCCACCCAGCTCTCTCTCCCCCCCTCAGCAGCACCTGGGCTGGAAGAGGGGAAGGTTCCTCTCCTCGTCATGGCAACTCCGTGGCTGGGTTGGGGCTGTGGGAGGAGCATCTCCCCCTGCCATGGCAGGTCTGTGCTGGGGCTGGATTGGGTCCAGGGAGGGGGCAAGGGGCGCATCTCCCCCGGCCGCGGCAGGTCCGTCCATGCCGGGGCTGGATTGGAGCCGGGAAGGAGCGCGTCTTCCCTGGCTGCGGCAGGTCCGTCCATACCAGGACTGGATTGGGGCCGGGGAGAGGGGTCTCCCCTGGCCACGGCAGGTCCATGGCTGGGCTAGGTCAGGGCTTGGGGAGAGGAATCTCCCCCGCCGCAGCCAGAGTGCCTGCGCGGCGCTTAATAGGCTGCTGTGCGGCTGCGCAGCTTAAAGGGAACTTAGTTCAGGGCATGGTTTTTTCACACCCCTGAGCAACGTAACTTACGTTGACTTAAGTGGTGGTGTAGACAAGCCCTTAGTATTCAAAGACCTGCTTCTCCACCCTTTGTGACAACAATAAATCTTAACTCTGCCTTTGAAAACCTCAGGCTATTTTTTTTTTTTTACAGTTAAATTAAGGTGATGCTGTGAAAACTGATGTTTAGCCCTTACCTCAACGTAGACTACATACTGAGAATACATCATGATTTAAAATACAGTTCCAATAAGAAACCCCTTCACATATTATAATTAAATTACTGATTCTTGTTTTTAATCTAATTTTCAGTCTATTTCTGTCTCTTTTAAACAACCTGTTTACCATTTTCTGTACACCAGATTTTTCTTCTCAAAGCTTTGATTGTGTAATTAACCTTTCTGACAATTGGGGGCAGAAAAGAGCATCTGGATTTCCAGATGTGACACGCTGGTGCACTCTGCATTATCGCTAATGGCAGAAACTCAGGACATGCTCACTGCAGAACACTACAGGAACAGTGCCCTTTGTTAGAAAAGTGTCCGACAGTGAGCATGCAGCTGACTGTTAGATCACCCTGTTTTACTTACAAAGCACAAGCCATTTCAGACACTCATTTATTAAACAAAAAGTAGCATTCATGTTCAACAACAAGACTTGACGTACAGCAGCACAGGTGGCAGCAAACAACAAAGTGCTGTGAGGGATGCCCTTTCTAGGCTATGAGCTCATCCCATCCATGCTGCTGTTTTCTCATCGAACTGTTAGAGGACTCCTATAGAATCCAGTTTTCTTCTTCAGTGGACCTCTCAGAGCCCTGGGAATCTCCCCCATTTCCTCTTTTGTGCTCGCTCTCCCTTTCACAGCAAGGCCAGAGATCTCTCCACTGTCACCAATGCCATCCTCCCAGTTGGATAGAGGGGCTTCCTAAGAGCAAGGGCAGACATTCTCACCCTCCCCTTGAAAAGACTTGCAATATGTTCTACTCCCTACCCTTCCAGCCTTGGACCAGAAGAGACCTCCTGGCTCATCAAGTCCAGTCCTTGCTCAAACAGGCACTCTGTCATATAATCCTTATGGGATTATGCTCTAGAACAGGGGTCGGCAACCTTTGAGAAGTGGCGTGCCAAGTCTTCAGTAATTTAAGGTTTTGCGTGCCAGCAATAAATTTTTACAGGACCCCAGACGTGCAGCGGGCTGAGCGGGGCCAGCGGCAGGGACCCCGGCTGGCAGGGGCAGGCGGACGGAACCCCAGACGTGCAGCGGGCTCATCCCGCTGCCGGGCTGAGCGGCTCATCCCGCTGCCGGGCTGAGCGGCTCATCCCGCTGCCGGGCTGAGCGGCTCATCCCGCTGCCGGGCTGAGCGGCTCATCCCGCTGCCGGGCTGAGCGGCTCATCCCGCTGCCGGGCTGAGCGGCTCATCCCGCTGCCGGGCTGAGCGGCTCATCCCGCTGCCGGGCTGGGATTCCATCTGCCACCCGTGCTGCCGGGCTGAGGTTCTGTCCGCCGGCCCGGGGTTCCGTCTATCCAGGCTGGCAGCGGGTTGAGCGGAGCTGGCGGCTGGGACCCCAGACTGTCAGTGCAGGCGGCAGACAGAATCCCAGACTTGCAGCAGGCTGAACGGGGCCAAGACCCCAGCTAGCAAGGGGCTGGCAGCTGGAACCCCAGACCGGCAGCGAGCTGAGCGGGGCCAGCGGCCAGAACCCCAGACCGTCTGGCCCCACTCAGCCCGCTGCCAGCCTAGGATTCTGTTCACCCAGGCAGGCAGCGGGCTGCGCGGGGCTGGCGGCCGGGACCCCGGCTGGCAGAAGCGTGCCAGTAAAAATCAGCTCGCGTGCCGCAGGTTGCCGACCCCGCTCTAGAACTAAACCAGAATCTGCTGCAACTGGGGTTTCATTCACTTTGTCAACTTCTGTTTGCTAATGCACAGATTCATTTAACAAAGCAACATAAAGCACGGACAAGCCTGCAGATACTTTTGCACATTTGAGAACAGTACAACAATTATACTTGCTATACCTCAGAGAACAATTTTAAAAAATCCCGAAGTACAAAACCTCTGAGTTCTAATCCTTTTTTATTATGGTCTTCTAATAGGTATTCATCACAGAAAGCAGTTTACTGTTACATAGCAACCCATGTCAAATCTCAGCAGCTGGAGATAGAACACTTATGCCATTATAAAAAAATAACTGCAGTTGGAATCTGTTTATAATTAAATTGCATCAGAAAGCTTCACTAGTTTGAATGATTTACAGAGCCAGATTCTGTTCTCAGTGTTCTCTGGTATACATCTGGATTAAACAAATCTGAATGTCACTTTAAATATGAACAATTTTTACTTACTCGGCAATCCCTCTGTAGTGTTTTCATCAGTGCGCTGTACGTTTCTGAGTCAAAATACAGTCCTTCATGCATCTCTTGCAAGAAATCCAAGTCTTTAAATGTGGGGTTGGACTTCTCCCTCTCTTTTCTTGATGCTCTCCGTTTATAGGTAGAGCCTTTCAAGTCATATGTGAAATGCATTTTCATTGCCCGAGGCAAAACATTGTTCATCACAACGATTCTGATGTTAATGCCCCCCGACTGAACACAGTATAGTCCATAAAATTTTGGTAAGAGTGTCCTTGGATTCTGGTTCAAATTCTAAAAAAAACAAACCCAAAGAGGTAGAATAGATTTTTTTATAAACATCCACATCTTAGAGGGGTTTTCACACTTAAGCATATTAACATTGAAAAAGGGGTGTGTGTTATTTTATATTCTAAACAATTTCTTTGACCAGTCACTCATTCTCTCCATCCCACTGGGCCCAAACTTGGCAAAGCTAGCACAACCCAGGAGATAAGAGACTGTTTAAATGAAATTGAGGGATCTGTGTGACAGAAGTGTTAGGGCCAAAAATCAAAGAAAGTCCCAGGACATCCCAAAAGCCAGGCCATGTTTCCCTACACCTGTACACTGAGGAGGCAAGAGCAGTGATGTAGAGGGAAGAGACTTGGCCTGCTGATTCCATTTTATGTCACTTTTGGCCACGTAGTTCACTCTGAACATTTTAAGCTTCTGACATGACCACATTTCCTCTTCTGTACTGCCTTGAAGAGAAACACAGAGTCTTTCATCACTGCACATCATAGGGTTTCTTTGTCCTCTTGCACGGGATCTATTTAAATTAGGTCAATAGCACAGCAGAAACTCAGCATTTTTGCTGTATTTGGCCTTAATGTGCCCTCATGAGAAGGCTCTTGATTGAGTCTAGAGATGTACTGAAGACTTTTAGCAGAACGACCCTCTCACCAAGATTTTTTAAGGAGTTTGGATCCCATTTTATTCAAGTCACCTCTGGTTTAGGTTTGTGAAACAAAAGCCCGACTCAGTGAGGTTTTGCAAAACCGGAGTTACTGCCAATTTTGGTCATGTTTATTATAGCCCAGATTATTGTCTACTTCAGAATGCAAAAAAGTAATGATCCTTTTATGACATCACAGTCTGCCAAAATGGAAACTGTATCGTATCCCAAATTCAACAGTAGGCCAAGCATCTAGCAGGCGAGGATAAGAGATGGGAAGGCAAGAACTGTATTTTAGATACTCACGTCTTCAATCACTATCAACATGAAAAACAGGTGAAGAAGAAATTATTTCTATTTTAAGTCTGTTATGGTTAAAAGTCCCTCTTTACAACTAAAGTAAGAAAGTTCCTCCTTAAGGAGCCTCGATACAGGAATTGCATGAATTAAACCTTTTTGATAAATGCTTGTGTGTATAATGTTAACTTTGTGATTGGTTAGTTCACAAAAACAAAGCAGAAAAGCCTTTATAATGTGTACTTGTATGATGGCCAACTCAGACATAAATCAAACAGATTATAATGATTAACAGTGAAGACTACCAGCTATGATATATTTTCTGAATCTTTGAATGAGTGAAGTCTCTTTACACAAACATTCAAACTCACAGTTACTTTATATTAGCTTAATACCACCACCATCAGATAATTACTGTAAATTTCAAAGAAATGGGGTGGAAAGTGTCCAAGAGTGATTTTTTTTTTTAAAAGGGGATTGGGAAGATGGGGACATATCTGTTCACTACAGGCCCAATTCTGCAAGGTGCTGACCATCACCTGAGAGGTGCTGAGGGGCTTTCCTCTTCATGGGAGCTCAGTAGCTATCAGGACAAATGTAGCCTCTTGCAGGATTTAGTCCTATTTGTTTCTGACAGTCAGTTTATTCACTTTGCTGACAATTGGCCAATATTAAAGAGAGACAGTCAACTTAGTTGAAGCCCAAAAATTTATCTGGTTAAAATAAATATTTTTAAAGAAGTTATATGAATAGAATTTTTTTTCAACAAAATGTTGTTGTGCTAATTATAGGAAAACCCAAAATTAAAGCAGTTTAGAAACTGAAGGGAAATTGAGCAGTCTAGTTTCTTTGGCCCCCTTGAATGAAATGCAAAGGGCAACCAAACATAAATGGAGAAAAATAAATTAGACTTTTAAAAATTCTTTCCATTTTAATACTAAATTATTAGGAACAACGATAAGGATTATATTAAAATGTAAACATCTTGATATTGTCCCTTTAGCATTTAGGATAGCAGTGACCTCGACTTTTAGGTTAAATTACTTTTTGCTGGTGAGCGTATGTCCACAATGAGGTTGTTTTTAAAGTGTAAGATCTATAAAAATATTAAGATAAATGTTAAATAAAAAAAATCAACAAAAATATTGGAAGACAATCAATGAAATTATTTATAAATAAAAGGAGACGTGAAACATGAAGGATATGGAAAATGTATGGAAGTAAAAAAATTAACGATCTGCAGTTACTCACCATGTAGTAACCTGGTAACAGCTTCTGAAGAAACTCAGCCTCTTTGTGTTGAACTGTTTTGATGATGAACTCATCATCACTAGTTACAAAAAATAAAGACCCACTGGCACCAGGGTTGGATAATTCTATTAAAGGCTCACTGCAGATTGAATACTGAAACAAAGACAAAATGGAGTTTGCAGCCAATACAGGTGGTTTTCAATATAAAAATCTTTAAAAAGAATAGCTGGTACAAAGGGGGGGGGGGGACAGATGGCAGTAAGGAAGATGGTTAAAGTTCCTCGATTCTCAAGCTGCCACAGCCCCTGCATAAGTTAGAACAGATAGGTGATCATACAACAGTTGAGAACTAGAAGAACATGGATATGTTCCATGACCCCCAAATTATGGTGAGGAGATAGCCCTCTGACTCAAGAATACATACTGCAATTTGCCTTTACATTAGATAAAATGTAGAAGCTAGAATACTTTTAGCTGATGGGAATCAGATGTCCTATAGGAGAAAAATAGAAAATCTCTATATTTATAAATGTTTTACTGCATCAATGTTAATTCACATTTCATGCCCCCACTCAACCCTGTTCGTATCCGTTTCCTCTCTAAACCCAGTAATCGAGGGATTTTCATTTGTAATAAACTGAAGAGTGGGATTAATATGCTAATAAAAATATCTTGGTTAAGAATCTCTTTTCCTCTATTTAAAAAAGCAGGCATAGTTAAGATCAATAACTTCATACACATTGAAATTGTAGCACAGTAACATTAATAAGGGACTGTCCCTCAAACAAACAAACTATACTTAAAACAAGATGTATTTTAAACTATTTACGTACCGGGGGAATCATTCTTAAAATAGCAGCAAGTTTACTGGTCTTTTTACAACTGCAAGAGTGGCTGTTCCTTAACTAGTTGCCCTTTCCACCAGGACTATCAAGAAAAGTGCCTGAAAAGGGCTGAGTTTCATTATAAGAAATCATTTTTTATAAACTAAATCCAGGTATTATTGAATTCAAAAGGAGTTCTGCCACTGATTTCAGTGGAACGAGGATTTGGTCCTATAGACATCAGTAGATGATGCTGTGAACCAGAGACGTCCAAGAACAAAAGGGTTGAGGTAGGGAAAGGAATGGAACAACAAGTATGCTTAGGGGAAAATATAGTTTAAAAAAATAAATGCTTGCTCTGAGTTCAAATGTTTCACCATGTACTACATATTTTTAAAAAGGCAATGCATCAAATTTTCACTTTCATTTTAGTAAATGTTACATTATACACCTTTGAATCAAGAGGGTCTTTACATTGTGTTACTATCCACGTTTCTAGCCCATCCTGCCAACATATGCAGCCTCAATAGTGAAAAGTATTATTGCTATGAGGTTTTGAAGCCAATTATTTGGAAAATTAAAAGATAATAAATTACATTATTACAATAATCTAGGGATGGCCTATAAGGAAAATCACAAATCCAGGATTACATGTTATGAGACAAGGATCAGATTTTATCCTTGGATTTTTTTTGCAAAATAAAAGCCTATCTCACAAAGTTTTGCTCAACCAAACCTTGAGCCTTTTGCTCAAGACTGAGACGAGAAAGATAAATAGTTTGCGATCAACACACTGACATGCTGAATACCCGTGTTTTGTATACTTTCCAGTCACCATTTATTTGTACAAGCTGTTCAAATTTATTTTTTCCCTTCATCCTGCTTCCTGCAGCGCTTCCATACTGTACCATTTGGAAGAAGGCAAAGCTACAACAGCTGTGCCCCGCCAATGCAAATTAACAGTGTAAACCTACTTAGTGTTGCTGAGATACTTTTCCTTCCATTTCTCTCCTCCCCCTCTCTCTAACAGGAACCAGTATAAAAGAGCAATCCCACTATTTTCAGTTGCTGTATTGCAGCCTGAAAAGAAACTGATTAAGACAACAGAATTTTGAATCACATCTTGTATAGTGGACAGGGGTTGAGGTAAGAGGTTGTGAATGGGGAGACTGATTTTATTGTCAACTGATTTTAATTAAAAAATCCAACTCCTTCAGAAGCAAATAAAGTAGTAGCAGGGCTAAAACCACTGTAGCCCTTTCTAGAAATACAGAAAATGGTTCAGGTACTTCTTCTGGCCTAACACTGTGCATGTTCTAACTAGAGAAGATGGTCAAATCTGGATTGGTTTTAAACAAATTCAGGGCTGAGTATATAACAGCAGCAAAATCTTAAGAAATATTCTCATGAGATTTCTGCCATTTTTTGTTAAGGATTTCAGTCATATCCAAACTGGAAAAACTGGTTCCAGCCAGTGGTTTCTGATCTCATTATTACAAACCAATCTCCCCTGGAATTCAGGGTTCCACTTGTGATCTCTCTCATTATAATATGTGGCCCAAGAGACTCTTTAATGGAATCCACAGAGAGATGAATAAATCATTTGCATAGCCTTTTGAAGTACTGCCTACAGTGGTGATTTGCCCCAGTTATAAGTATCTGTGGCTAGTCAGAGGGGAAGCTGAACCGGTGCAAACCTATAAACCACAAATTCCACCGGTGTAGTTTACTCCTACTTCAAACTGGGTTCAATTGCACTGGTACAAATTGGTTGTGACAGCTTTCCCATCTGCACTGGGGTAGCTTCTCTGGTGGCCAGCCACTGATGGCTGACATCCACAGTGTAGACAAGGCCTAAAACTATAGTGTCTCCAGATCCATCTTTTAAAAAGACAGATTTGCCCTTCGACTTTAAGGTCAGAAGGGACAATCATGATCATCGAATCTGACCTCCTACACATTGCAGGTCACAGAACCTCACACACCCACTCCTGTAATAGTCCCTTAATCTCTGGCTGAGTTACTGAAGTCCTCAAATCATGGTTTAAAGAATGAAGGTTACAGAGAATTCGCCATTCACACTAGTTTAAACCTGCAAGTGACCCAGGCCGCAGGGGAAGGTGAAAACACCCCCAAGGTTTCTGCCAATCTGACTCATTGGAAAATTCCTTCTCAATCCCAAATATGGCAATCAGTTTAAGTATTGTATAAATAAGCCTTTGTGAAACCTAAGGCCCAACAAATATTTCCATGTAACTAATACAAATATCCCAATGGAAAGTTTTACTTTAATTTGAAGTTGGGATCAGTATAAGGCACCCAAGCACTAGCATAATGTTCCTGTGTTTGGGTTTCCAACACTGCAGGACAATATTTTTATTTTAAAAACTAACTAGGCTAGTTTCACAGTCCAAGATGAGAGAAATATATTAAACTGGATAGAGATGGTCTAGAAATATTTTGATTCTTTTATTAAACAAATTTTGGTGTGTGTTTCACTTAAAATAATTGACAAATAGCTTATTAAAATTCTGTCAACTGTAAAGAATCTCAGTTGTTTACAAGTAAATATATTTGTAAAAAATGCAGGTTTTTTTAAACCCTACATTGGACCTTTAAGCACAAGGAATGCAAAAAGCTGCTGGGCCTCCTTATTGGGGGATACATAGCTCTGAAGTGAACTGGCAACTTACAAAATGATCTGATCTTGCCCTTTTAACAAATGAGGTAGACACCCTACACCGACCCCTCACAATCTTGCCAGCAGCAGATGTGTAGGGGGAGGAAGATCTTGGACCATCCTCTTTTTGATAGTGTTGGTCCCCACAAGGTGGAAGGTCAGACTTGTCTACCTAACAAGGTTGTTATATTTTCACATTCGAGCACGTGCATGAGACACACAGTATGAGTAGGGCCCTACCAAATTCCCAGCCATGAAAAACATGCCACGGACCGTGAAATCTATTCTCCTCCTGTGAAATCTTTTCTTGTGTGCTTTTACCTTAGACTATACACATTTCACACAGGGAAACCAGCGTTTCTCAAACTAGGGGTCCTGACCCAAAAGGGAGTTTCAAGGGGGGTTCGCAAGGTTATTTTAGGGGGGGGGGTGTGGTATTGCCATCCTTACTTCTGCGCTGCCTTCAGAGTTGGGCAGCTGGAGAGCAGCGGCTGTTGGCTGGGCACCCAGCTCTGAAGGTAGCACCCCACTACAGCAACGCAGAAGTAAAAGGTGGCAACAGCATACCATGCCACCCGTACTTCTGCGCTGCTGCCTTCACAGCTGGGCAGCCAGAGAATGTCAGCTGCTGACTGAGGGCTCAGCTCTGCAGGCAGCAAATGCAGAAGTAAGGGCGGCAATACCATACCATGTCATGTCATCCTTACTTCTGCAGAGTCTCTCCCAACCAGCAGCCACTGCTCTCCAGCTGTTCAGCTCTGAAGGTAGCGCCGCCGCCAGCAGCAGTGCAGAAGTAAGGGTTGCCATACCACAATCCCCCATAAGATAACCTTGCGACCACCCCACAACTCCTTTTTGGGTCAGGATCCCTACAATTACAATACCGTGAAATTTCAGATTTAAGTAGCTGAAATCATGAAATTTACTATTTTAAAAATCCCATGACCGTGAAATTGACCAAAATGGACCGTGAATTTGGTAGGGCCCTAAGTATGATTATTAAGGGCTTCTCTACACTAGAAATGATACAGTGGCACAGTTCCAGCTGCGTCGCTGTAGCATTTCAAAGTAGATCCTACCTATGCTGAAGGGAGTGGTGGTTCTGTCACTACAGGTATCCTCCTCCCTGAGAGGCAGTAACTAGGTCAATGGAAGAATACTGAGTTACTCAGCTGGGCTGACAACTTTTTAGTGTAGACCAGGCCTAAGACTGCAAATCAAAAGGAACAGAACAGAAAGTAGCCTTTACAAGGGTATCAATGTCTTTCTCAGGTCATCTCTTTTTCCATGTCAAGGTTAGAACATATGTACGTAAACACTGTTTTCTTGTAAAGTACATAAATAAAGCAGCATATGAGAGCACTCAATTAGAATTCAATTAGCAAAATTCACATAAGTTTTTAAATCTAATTATAATATTCATGCAGAGATAATTACCTGAACTAGCAGCAATACTCTAGGTATTAAACTATCAATTAACATGGCAGGTTTTATAGCAATCACTTAAAAGCTGGAGAATTAAAAAAAGTTTTGCCAAAAGCTAAATTTATACACCAGTTACAAAATCTAAAAACTTCTGCTCCTGTTTAGAGCATTGTTAGCCACCCCCCTCTGCTATAGAACTAGAATAGTGTTCACATCACAACTATTTTTTTTTTTTGTAGTTCAGGGGAAAAATTATAAAATTATAAAATTCTTACCAAGTAATCATCAGGCTTGATACCAAAAAGTTCTCTGAAGTAACGGAAAGCTAGAGGAGCATAGGTCTTAAATCTGAAGTCGGGGTAATGATGAGCAGGGGTCAAATTGCTGCCTTCACTGCATTGAAAAGACAAAAAGAAAACAGCAAATATTACAATACATTTTTATAAAAGACTTCTTTTTGCAGCTAGTTTTCATTTAATACTTCCCACCATGATCACTGGCATCCTGAAACAAAAGTCACTCGAAGGAGTTTGAAATAATGTAGAATCAAATGTTAATATAAAAGTGATGTCAGGAAAACAGCAGTCTTGTGTCCTCTCCTCACCCTGAGGGAAGTAACCATTATCATCATCAGTCACACCATCAATGGGTTAAGGTACTATTTATACCAGCATCTCAGCCTTCATATGTCCCCTCAGTGTTACTCTCTCTTGCAAACTAGGTCATGGCACTACCGTAGGCTCCCTCAACCCTATAACTTTTTAGTCTGCAACCAGTTACTTGCATGGCTGGCTCTACACCTGGTGTTGGGTCTGCAGGACACATGGTAAAAAAACCTCCATTAATTACTGTGCTCAGCTAAAAGCGTTTTTCCCCTACCACAGGTGCAGGCTGCCGCATGACCGTGGGCTGAACTGGTTAAAGGAAAACAATTTTTTTCAGTGTGAACAGAGTACCCTAATCATGACCATGTTACTGGATTGGCTATTCCACAACCCCCACGTTCCCCCCCAGCCACAAAAAACAAAGAAAACCCCACCTTTCTTGGGCAGGACATCCCAGAGTGCATTGCCTCATGTACTATGATTCAACTCTAGATGCATGTCCTGTGGGAATTCTATCCCATGCTAAGTGACTATGGAATAACTGCCCAGATACATTGATACAAGACATGTTTCAGCAGCATAGTAGGATGTGTACCCAGACAGTTATGGCGGATAGCTGCTGTGTTAACACAACTGAACTGTGTAACTTGTAACCAGATACAAAATAGCAGATAAAAGTTGTAATGCAGACAGGGTCTAGGACATAATGCCCTAATTTGATCATTTCAGCCATACATCGTGTATCCAAAGTTCATTTACCTCTGCATAAATTTGTTTACAGTAGAAATATCTAACATATAAAAAAAAGTATAAATAGCTAGTAATAAATGTAAATATTTGAACATCCTGTTTTTTATACTCCAAATTGTTTTACTACCAGAATTGAAACAGATGACCTGAAATATATTCTGAACATATGCACTGAAATTATATTATAATAGTAACATTGTGATGGAAGAAGTTCATTCAGCTCATCTCCATCTATCTTTTATTATCAGGCAACAATAGAAAACTGAGGTTAACTCAATTGTGCGAGCTGGGAAAAAAGTTCTCTGAGCCTCCACAAAACTGACCCCCAAAACTCTCCAGCAGGAGATCAAGGGATAAAAGAACCGATGAAACTACAGGCTAAAAGTATTGTATCAAAGAAAACTGACCGGCTAGCTATTCTCTACCCTGGTTGCTAGCTGCTAATAAAAGCTGCTTTTTCAAAATGAACTATTTTGCAGATTTTATAGGATGTGCAGCACAAACTGTCTTAGATACAAAATCAATTCCATTCATTTGTTTATTGCTCCTAAAATGGCATGGCAAAGGGAGAATCAAGAGATTAAGGTGAACTGGTGAAAAAGTCACACATTGTCAGCAAAGACAAATCAGAGTCTAGCAGCTACATTTTCCAAAGATTCCATCTGCACTGAGCCCGGTCCAGCCCAGGGCTAGAGGGGCTGAGCAGGACATCTCAGGTACTTGAACCGAGAGTTGTGAGACTGTCTAATGCAGACACAAAAAGGGGCAAGAGCTGGGGGTCGGGGTGGTGAGTGGCAGCAGAAGAGGAAGTTGATTGGAACAAGACCAGATCAGTGAGGGGATTCTAGGTGTAGGGGTCTGCATGGAAGAAAGCACACAGATGAGAGAGCTTTCCAATATCCAGTGTTTTCTATATGCCAACAAAGAGGTTAGTCATGCAGCACTGGCAAGTGAAAAGTGATTAACTGAGTCTCAGTAGTGGCCACAGTTTTTATTTCACTTCTTCAAATGAAATTTTACAACCTTAGAGTTTTCCTACTGGTCCATTTTCCTCTTCACAGAGCTGTGTTATGGGATTCTGTTTGTGAAATGTGTCTTCACTCTCAAATTGAGAGGCTTCTTTTTAGGTCAGTGACCATGTAACCCATGTGCCTAATAGGGAGATATCTCTTTAAGAGCTCTATTGGTGCGGGGTGGTAGGAATGAGTAGGGTCTTGATCACTGTGCATCTGCCTAGCAACATTATGTAGGCTGCGGAGTGGTCTGCTGTTTCGCGAAGCTTCTGCGGCTGTAAGGCTCTGCCACTGCCGCCATGTTCGGCTGTTTGGTGGCGGGTAGACTGGTGCAATCAGTGACTCAGACTCATAGACTTCAAGGTCAGAAGGGACCATTATGATCATCTGGTCTGGCCCCCTGCATGCTG